CCAGAGACCACCTCCCCCCCAGGGAAAGGACCAAAGCGACTCACAGGATCAGATCTTCCTCCTTCTCCACTTTGGCAAAGGTGGCAACTTTATTCTTCAACAAATACAAGTGGCCAGGACCTCCCTGCATGGAGGAGAAAGAGAGAGAGGGTAGCACCAGCCAGCCCTGGGTTCCCGCTCCAGCTCTTGGCGCCCGAGGGGCAGGACAGGTGCATGCCCCGCTCTGGGAGAGAAGAGGCCCAGAATTCACGGAGCAGATGGACAAACAGCCCCAGCCTCCACTTCTTGCCTCGGTGGGCCTGAGAGATGCTGGTTACTACAGTGGTAGGGGGCAGCCAATGAGCATGTGGTGCTGAGGGATTCCACGGTCACCTGTATCCACGTAACAAATACGTTTCAGGAAAAAACCACGGACATTTTCCTAAGTAACAAGCGAGTGAAAACTCAGCAAAGGCCCCGGGATTTGGCCCAGGAGTCTGCCTCAGCGAGGAACCCCCAGATCTCTCCCCAAAGATGGCCAGTCAGCTGGGAATGGAGGCCTGGCTCAGCCTACCCTGCAGTAGGTGGCTCTCCGTGTGCCCCCAACGTAGCAGGGGCTGCAGTGCTGCTCAGGTCTTACACAGCCACACGCAGGGGGCCACTGCTCCCCCACTGCTCAGACTCCTGCGCTGAATTTGGCGTGAACTTGGCCCTACTTTCAGTGGCTGCAAACCCTCGGTTCTGGGACACGGCTGCTACGTTTAGGTTGTCCATAAACAGCTCGCTGGGAATACTCCCTCTTTGCTACACGTGGAGTGACTGGCTGCCTAAATCACATGGTTTTGTCTCTTCTTCCTGACTGGATAATTCAAACGGTTGAGACAGGCCAATAGCGAATTCCCAGTATGAATGTTCAGCCAAACAGCCACTGGCACTTACGTTTTTGCAAGTTTTAAAGTCTATGAGAACGTTTTCCCAGCAGCTGCCCCATTGCCTTTGAGTAAGGGACGGGACGCCCCCACCGATCACAGCAAGCTGAATGCTGCACTTTATTCATGCCCAGGTTTCTAATGGGGGCCAGGGTTTTCCTTCAGTTATTTAGCCTGCTCTGCTCTCGAAAGATTCAGTCCCATTTCTGGGATTATAATCTTCAGGGTGTAAATGTGGAGACTGGGGAAGAAGGAGGGAGACCCAGAAATTCACTGCACTAGGAAACGTCATTTGACCATCCAGGATATTTCCTATCACGCAGGATGGAGAGAAAGCGGAGGGGCTCAGAGAAGAGTGAGGGGAACGATGAAAGGAGAGAGACTTGCAGCGCTCACTCTACTCCGCTGCACAAAGAGAAGGCGAAGGGCAGACGTGGGCGGAGTCTGCAAGTGCCTACTTGTGGCTACCAATATTTCAGGCTGGGCTGTCCACTCTAGCAGACAAAGGGCTAACGTGAGCCAGTGGCAGGAAGTGGAAGCTGGACAAATGCAGCCTGCAATCAAGGAGTGAGTTTTTAACAGGGAGAGTAACAAGCCGCTGGCACAGGGTACCCCGGGCTGAGGCGGATGCTCCATCACTGGTCATTTTAAACTAGGACTGGATGCTTTTCAAAATGATCTTTTGGGGAGGTTCTCGGCCAGCGCTACCTGAAGAGAGTTGGCATTTCTCAAAGGGACATTGTTAAGGGCCCAAAAGCAAGCTATTCCGCTGTGTAGGAAAGATAGAAAATATGGCAAAAGACCAGCTTGGATCAACCAGAACTTGCATGATCTAAAAATAAAAAAGGAGTCATATAAAAAAAGGAAACTAGGACAAATTACCAAGGATGAATATAGGCAAACAATGCAGGAAGGCAGGGGCAAGATTAGAAAGGCAAAGGCACAAAACAAGCTCAAACTAGCTATAGGCATATAGGGAACAAGAAGACATTCTATAAATATATTAGAAGCAAGAGGAAGACCAAGGACAGGGGAGGCCCATTGTTCAGAAATCATTCTACAAATACATTGGAAGCAAGAGGAAGACCAAGGACAGCGTAGGCCCACTGCTCAGTGAGGAGGGAGAAACAGTAACAGGAAACTTGGAAATGGCAGAGGTGCTTAATGACTTCTTTGTTTCAGTCTTTCCCGAGAAATCTGATGAAGGAATGCCTGACATAGTGAATAAAATACAGGACTATGTAGCACTTTAAAGACTAACAAGATGGTTTATTAGTCTTTAAAGTGCTACATAGTCCTGTATTTTGTTTCAGCTACACCAGACTAACACAGCTACATTTCTATCACTATTCTGACATAGTGAATGTTAGTGGGAAGGGGGTAGGTTTAGAAGATAAAATAAAAAACAAGTTACAAATCACTTAGAAAAGTTAGATGCCTGCAAGTCACCAGGGCCTGATGAAATGCATCCTAGAATACTCGAGGAGCTGATAGAGGAGGTATCTGAGCCTCTAGCTATCATCTTTGGAAAATCATGGAAGACAGGAGAGATTCCAGAAGACTAGAAAAGGGCAAATAGTGCCCATCTATAAAAGGGAAAAAAGAACAACCCAGGAAACTACAGACCAGTCAGTTTAACTTCTGTGCTAGGAAAGATAATGGAGCAATTAAGGAAATCATCTACAAATACTTGGAAGATAATAAACAGCCAGCATGGATTTGTAAAGAACAAACCATGTCAAACCACTCTGATAGCTTCTTTGATAGGATAACAAGTCTTGTAGATAAGGGAGAAGCGGTGGATGTGGTATACCTAGACTTTAGTAAGGGATCTGATATGGTCTCGCATGATAGTCTTATCAATAAACTAAGCAAAAACAACTTAGATGGGGCTACTATAAGGTGGGTGCATAACTGGCTGGATAACAGTATTCAGAGAGTAGTTATTAATGGTTTACAATCCTACTGGAAAGGCATAACAAGCGGGGTTCCGCAGGAGTCTTTTTTGGGACCGGTTCTGTTCAATATCTTCATCAACGATTTAGATATCGGCCTAGAGAGTACGCTTATTAAGTTTGCAGATGATACCGAGCTAGGAGGGATTGCAACTGCTTTGGAGGATAGGGTCATCGTTCAAAATGATCTGGACAAAGTGGAGAAATAGTCTGAGGTAAACAGGATGAAGTTTAATAAGGACAAACGCAAAGTGCTCCATTTAAGAAGTAACAATCAGTTTCACATATAGGGTACGTCTACACTAGCCCCCTAGATTGATCTAGGGAGGCTAATGAGGGCGACCGAAATTGCAGATGAAGCACGGGATTTAAATATCCCGCGCTTGATTTGCATGTTCCTGGCTGGTCGCCATTTTAGAAATTGACTAGCCCGAAGTAACTGCCCGCATCTACACGCGGCAGTGAAACGGGATTCTGAAATAAAGCCCTAACTCAAATTAGCTGGTATTCCTCCTGCAATGAGGAACAGAGAAGAGGAGCAAGAATGATTAAAGGTCTAGAGAACATGAGCTATGAAGAAAGACTGAAAGAATTGGGCTTGTTTAGTTTGGAAAAGAGAAGATTGAGAGGGGACATAATAGCCGTTTTCAGGAATCTAAAAGGGTGTCACAAGGAAGAGGGAGAAAATTTGTTCTTCCTGGCCTCTGAGGATAGAACAAGAAGCAATGGGCTTAAACTGCAGCAAGGGAGGTTTAGGTTGGACATTAAGAAAAAGTTCCTAACTGTCAGGGTAGTTAAACACTGGAATAAGTTGCCTGGGGAGGTTGTGGAATCTCCGTTTCTGGAGATATTTAAGAGCAGGTTAGATAAATGTCTATCAGGGATGGTCCAGACAGTCCTGGATCCTGCCATGAGGGCAGGGGACTAGACTCGATGACCTCTCAAGGTCCTTTCCTGTCCTACTATTTTATGATTATCACTATGGTACCTCCGGTCGTGTAATTTTATGAAGCTATCGAGTAAGCAAGAGCAGCCTAGACACACATAACAAAGGCACTGAATCACTGACCAGTATTGCTGCTTTAAGGGGGTCTGAGGCTGTGCGGTAGAGAAGTAAAGGGCACACAGAGGCCAGAAAGCCTGGAAAACACCCTACTCTAACTGTAGAAAACATGGGGACTGGGCATTTATGTGGATAGTGAGAAACCCCCCAGTTATGCCAGCAGGAAGTAAAACCGACAATCTCAGGTTTGGGTAGATTGCAACACTCCAGGGCATGAGGACAGTCAGCAGATGCCTGTCTATGGGCAGGTCTGTTCATAGCCGCCCCCAGCAAGCTCTGGTGCTGGCCACTGCCAGAGCCCAGAACTGTGGCCACATCTAGGATAGAAGTGCCTGTGTCCCCAGGCTAAAGCATATTGAAGTAATAAATAGCAAACTCCAAGTCCCAGCTCCTTAGCTGCTGCTTGAAAGCTGCTGAAAAGCTGCCAAACCCTGCGCCAGCTGCACGAAGCCACATTTCCTCTGCTGCCGCCCAGCCAGCCGCTCATGTGGGCAGGTGGAGGAATGAGAAGTGGGAACTGAATAGCCGCGATTGCTTCAGCTTTGGAATGTTGTTTTCTGGGAGTTAATTTGTCCCGGGAGAAAACGCTGGCTTTTAACAAAGTGCCAAGGGCCTCGGTGCCTTTCCCATACCTGACAGAAAATCAGCATCTTCCAAATCCTGCAGCCTTTCCGATAAACGTTCAGCTTCTTCTCTATCTCCTCTGCAGAAAACGGGAGGAAAGAGAGTGAGCCACTCCGAAGCGGAGACACTGGCTCTTCCACAGGGATTGCCCCGATTTGCAGTAGGGTTTATTCTGCAAGGCAGCCTGGGCCTGACTTCCAGGTCCCCTGCTTTCAAACCAGACCCCGGCGTCACAGCCTCGGGAGTCAGGAATCCCAAGCTTCTTCCAACAGAGCAAGGAACCCAGCGAAATCCCCCCATACTCAGCCCGTGGCACTCCCAGCTTCATCGGGAGCTTCGAGGGAGGGGAGTGAAAAAGGCAAGGAAATAGCGCACGTACCTAGGATATCGTCAAAGGTGGCGTGTTCGTGGTCCTGGAACCAAACCGAAAGGGCCTGTTAAACCTCGGTGCTGCTAGAGACCTATCTCAAGAGCTCTCCTGCGACAGGACAACCGTGCACGAGGCAAGCATGTAAACTGGGGCTCAGTCCAGCCGGCATCGCGGGCATCCCCGCCCTCATGCTTACACCAGGGTGACAACCACCCGAGTAGGAATGCGTGGACTTGCTCTGCTGAATCCTCCGCCCTAGCCCTTCACATGGGACCCTCCTCCTGTCCCGCAGCCGCCCCCTACTCCAGCCCTGGGCTCCCCAACGCCCAGCTGTGCGACGGCTCCTCTGGGCCGTTCTGACGCCAGCTAGGGACTGGGAACAGTCGCTCGGGCCCTTTCCACGCGTAGCCAGCCCTGTGGTGCCCACTGACGGTTACTCACGTAGAGAATGGGGATGATGGAGGGGTCGTCTCTGCGGATGATCGTCGGGATGTACTCCGCTTTGGGCACCTTGGAAGAAATGAGCTAGGAAGGGACATGAGAACAGAAAAGGGCCATGAGCAGAGACCGGGGCCACGGGCCGGGAGCGGGGCTGTCGTGCACCCGGAGTCTCCATAATCCCCCGGATACGGACATTCCTTCTTTCGGGTCTGGCTATTTCTAGTCTCTGTCCGCCCTGCAGGAAGCGAATAGCCGGGACCCTGGGCCGTTAGCTGAGCTCCCCTGCGTGTGGCCAGCTGCACGGACGCATTATACAATGCAGCTGCGACTGCAGCGGGGCCTGGGCTGAAAGGCCCCTGCCTGCCGTGGCACCGGCGAGAGCCTAGAGCCCAAATCCCTAACCTATGCCCAGGGAAAGCTGGGCCCTGCCCCCTGCATTCAGACAGCAGCGCCGCGCACAGGGCGGGGGTGGGGCGGGGCAGCGGGCCTGATGGAGACTCCTACGGCCCACACTTGGCCAAGAAAGACTCGAAGAGCTCTGGGGCGGAACTGGCGGCTCTGCCCTTCTCCGGGGCACCGAGCAGCAGCTGGGAAAAGACGAGCGAGGTAACGAGGTGCGCAGGTGGGGGGAGGGGGAACAGCGAGGTA